GATCCCCGCCATTCGATTGGCTGGAGTGTCGCGCCGTCGCGTGCGCAGCGCCATGGCCGCGCCGCCACGCGGGATTAGCTTCTCCGTCGGGCTGCCTGTCTGGCGTGCGATCTGCGCCGAGTCGCGGGTTCGATACCGCCCCGCGCGGTCTGTTTATCTTCCATTTTCCGCGGCGTGGCCTCTGCCTCTGCCAGTGCGGACCCGGGGCCGGGGGTTGCGCCCCACCCCGCCGCACAGTGGGCCAGAAGACCGGTGGAGCGGCCAAAACACTAGACGCGTTTTCAGCTCCAGAGTCGCTAAACAGGCCTCGAACCGAACGTTTGACCCCACCAATGGATAGCTCTCCAAACGGGGAATCCATTGGTAGGGGTCACACGTTCGGTTGGTGTCCCATTTAGCGACTCTGGAGCTCAAAACGCGTCTAGAATTTTGTCCGCCTTCACTGGTCTTCTGGCCCACTGTGCGCCGCCGCCTCCACCATGACTGGCGGGAAGAGGGCGGCTAATGCAAGGAAAAAACGGAGCCCGAGGATTTGGTCCTGACAAACCACTATGCGCCCTCTGTGCCAACTACTCCAGCCCCGGTCCGCCCGCCTGCCCGCCGGCCTGTCTGTCTGTCTGTCTGTCTGTCTGTCTGTCTGTCTGTCTGTCTGTCTGTCTGTCTGTCTGTCTGTCTCCCGCTGTCTGCCGGCCTGTCTGTCGGCCGGCACGTGAGATACTGCAAACTGCACGCAGTGCCGCGGTTGCGTCGCGCGTTGTGTCGCTTTATGAACCGGAAGAAAGGAATCTAGAGGGAGGGGCTGCCGGCCCAGGGCTGCAGCCGAATGGCCCGGCCGCCCTGCACGCCGAGTTACGCCGCCCCGGCCGCCTCTAGTGCCGTCGGGCTGCACTAGAAAGGCCATACGGTCTGCGGAGTTAGCGCACACGCCGAACAGCGCGGCACGGTGGGCCAGAAGACCGGTGGAGGCGGCCGAAGTTCCGGACGCGTTTTGAACTCCTGAGTCGGTAAATGGGAATCGAACCGAGCGTGTGACCCCACCAATGGATTGCTCTCCGAACGAGGAATCCATCGGTGGGGTCACACGTTCGGTTCGAGTCCCATTTTGCGACTCTGGAGCTCAAAACGCGTCTAGAGTTTTGGCCGCCTCCACCGGTCTTCTGGCCCACTGTGACCCGGAGGCCGTCGTCGCGGAGGCTGCCTGCATGGCTGGCTGGCTGGCTGGCTGCTTGGCCCGGTCATTCCTTTTTACGCGCGCAAAAGTTGGTAGTATTCATCTCTGAAGGCCGCCCGGCCCACCCCATGCAGTGCAGCCAACTTGCGGCGAAAACAATCGCCATAACTAGCTTTTGCCGCCCGAGGTACACCCGCCGCCAGACCGCCACCCGCCGCGCTTAAGTTCGCCGACATATTTTTTCGCCCCCCCCCACCCCTCGGCAACTTTTTTTTTGGTCCTGGTTTTGAATTTATTGTTTTTGTCGCCATGAAAAATTCAGCACCGCGTAGGAGCGCGCGCGACGGCGGCGGCGTCGTCGCGAGCCCACAGGCTTGACCGCGCTTCCTTATTTTATCCGTTGCAAACTTTGGTCGGGCTGCGGCCTCCAGAAGGGCAGGGGGGGGGGGGGGGGGGGGGCAACACGCCGACGACGGGATGATGATAATGGTGCAATGAGAGAATTGTTATAAATAATAATGAAATTAACGGGAAATTGGGGCGAAAAGTGGCGCCTAGTCCTCGCCGTCGTGGCGGCGGTGGTGTTGACACGGGTTTTATTTCTCCGGTAATAAGCGCGGGTCGTCGGGGGCGGGGCGGGGCGGGGCGGGGCGCCCTGAAGTATGATGACAAACGATGGCATGGCACTGACGATCCCTCTTGTCAGCTCGTGTCTGTCCGTCCGTCCGTCCGTCCGTCTGTCTGTCTGTCTGTCTGTCTGTCCGTCTGTCCGTCCGTCCGCGTGTCGCCCCGCTCGAGGCTGCAGTCCTGTCTCTTCCCGCAGGAGTCATCACGGGCACGGCCTTTGTGGGCCCACCAGGCAGAATGCAGCGTTGCTCTAGTGTCGCCGCAATTTGGACGCGGCGTGGGCGTTTGGGGGGAGGGGTGGGGGGGGGGAGGGGTAGGGGTAGGGGGTTGGCACGGTGGTGCAGAAGAGAGGGGGCCGGGGGGTTGCAAGTTAGTCTGTTGGCTCGTCGTCGCTCATGAGAAAATATTGCTCTCATTCCGAGATGTGTGACGTTGCCGCACGCCAGAGGGAGTCTGGGGCGACGACGGTGGCGGTGGTGCGGAGTGCGGCGTGGCGGGGCGTGGCGGGGCGGGGCTCGATACAAAGTGCTTGACAAGTGTGCGCTCCTTGTTCCGTTTTTGCTTCCCGGTGGCACTTTTTCAGTTTCCCCGCACGGCGTTGCAGCAAGTGGCGCTTCGGGTGGCGTGACGGGGCTCCCAATGCCGAAGCAAGGCCGCACAGTGGGCCAGAAGACCGGTGGAGGCGGCTCTGTCACCCTCGCACTCATGGGGCGCCCCGTATCGGTGCGAGAGAGACAGCGCGACGAAAACGACTCTCGGTCCGCAGGAAGCATAGCAACACCTCAAGGAGGCCACCACCGTCACCCCTCCGTCCGTCCGGCCGGCGTCCGGCCGGCGTCCGCACGGAAAACGGAGAGAGAGATGTGAGGCGAAAAAAATATAGTATATGGAGGAAAAGAAAAGGAAGAAAAGGAGAGCCTTTCACACTGGTTTGATTTCTCATCGGAGCGAGAGGCGGAAAGGAGATTGCCGCCGTTGCTTATCTCTCTTTCCTTTCTGTCTGTCTGTCTGTCTGTCTGTCTGTCTGTCTGTCTGTCCGTCCGTCCGTGCCGCCTCGCTCACGCCCAATCACTTTCTTATTCTTTCTCTCCTTCTCACATGCTTCCCCCGGCGCTGCTGGATCGTGACGAGCTGCAGGCGCTCGTGTGTGTGTGTGTGTGTGCGAGCGCGCGTGTGTGAGATTGTGTGCGTGTGAGCGGCATCCGACGCTCCTACCACCCCTTCGGCAAGCTTTCATCCCTCATTTCATATGTTATTGATGACGACTCGGTGAGGGGGTGGTTGGGCGCGGTGGGGTGCCGGCGGCGTGGCCCGGCCCGGCCCGGCCCGCGCGCCTTTCCCGTGGGACTGGTTACGACAAAGTGATGACGGGGATGGACAAGCAGGTACTCCTCGCGAGGGTGCGTCGTGAATGCGAAGAGTGAATCCGAAGGCAGTTTCCGTCTCTCTCTCGCACTCACGGGGCGTCCCGTGTCGGACAGAGAGACGAAAACGACTCTCGGAATCAGTCTACGTTTGGTCTACGTACTGGTACCAGCGCCTACAACGCCTGCGGCGGCTTTGCGTGCTGGTTAACGCGCTACTCCGTCTCTCTCGCACTCATGGGGTGTTCCGTATGTGTGCGAGAGAGATAGAGAGAGAGCGAACCTGCTGGCGGGCAGTGCGGTCGCTTCTTTTCCTCTTCTGCGCCATTTACTGGAAGGCAAGCCTTGCAAGGGTCTGCCTTGCCCGCTTCGCTTTCTTCGCTCCACGACACTGTATCTCCGCGCTGCATCTCGCGCAAAGCGCTGCAAGTTTTACGGCGGCTTCTTTTGTCTTTTGGTGCCTTTGGTACAGAGATATCAAGTTAAGTTTGCCCGCGGCGTGATGGAGGAGGGGGTGGGGGTGGCAGGGGGAGCACGCAGGCACGCGGGCACGCGGCAGCGGAGGCAGCGGGGCAGCGCCCAGCAAAAGGCTGCGGGGATATTTCGGGGCGCCCTGCCGTGCCCTGCCCTGCCACGCCCTGCCGTGCCGTGCCGTGCCATGCCCCGCCCTGCCCAGCCCCGCGATTATTGGGATTCTGTTGAGTGACCCGTGCACGCAGACGCCATTTATTTCGGACCCAAATCTACAGCGTGCTGTACGTATTGATTGCAATTTTGATTAAAACCCGCGCCTGCCACCCCAAAAAATAGCGGAGTCCATGGAACTTTGTCCAAATTCCATGTAAAACATTAATTTTGTTTTGCAAAGAAATTAAATTTTCCTCGACAAAAAATATTCAAAATTAAAATTATACTCGCAAAAAACTACTTACTGTCAGAAATTTGCCCTACAAGGCTGCATCATGTAAGCTGGGTGGCACGACTAAAATTTCGGTTCCAGTGTGACAGCAGGCAGTGTGCGCGCAGCAGACTGAGAGTCGTTTCCGTCGCTGTCTCCCTCGCACCCATGAGGCGTCCCGCATGGGTGCGAGAGAGACAGAGCGACGAAAACGACTCTCTCGGAATGAGTCTGCCGCTGCTGGCCGGCCTGTTGTGTCGGTTCCGCGTGTGTGCGTCAGACAGCGTCGCTGCGTCAGCGTCTCGCAGGGCACTACACTGCTGCACGGCCCGCGACAATGTACGTGTCATGCTGCGCGACACTTAGGCCCTTGATTGATTTCACCCGCACGCCATTCATCACCCGGCAAAGGTTTGTCTACCAATTTCTTCTCCTTCTCCTCCTTGTCCTCCTCCTCCCTCCTCCTTCTCCTCCGAAATGCAGGCAATCTCACTACCAATAAGTTTTATAATTGTCAAAAAAATTTCTGCGCCACTTCGCGAAGTCTTATTAAAATCCTCCAGAAAATTTCCGATTATTCGCAAACTTGCATGAGAGGCACATTGAAAAAAAAAATGAATCCTCGTGGGTGCTGAGGCTACTTTGTGCCTAAAAAAAAAGGAAAAAAAACTGCCACTGCAGCCTCCGCCGCGCAGTCCGTCTGGTCTGAGGGAACAGGGAACTAACGGATGCAATAACACAAACATTTTGATTGTGTTTGCGGTGGCAAAAACGTGCGCCCCTTTCGAAAGGGGTGGGCGGAGTCAGCTGGAAAGCATGTGTACGTTTGGTTTCCCATCCTACTCGCTCAAACATGCGTCCTTGCTTGAGGAAAAGGCGGCCTGTGTGTGAGGGAGGCTATTGGCGAGGAAAGGGATGGTTCGCACCAAAACAAAGGCACACGGTTTCTACAAAATAAGGGCTCAATTTAATTCACGAATAGGATTAATATTAGTATTCTGTACGGAAGACGAGGGGCGTGACGTCACACACACTGGAAACAACTGAGGGCGAGTTCATCACGTCGTTTAAAAGCAAAGAAACATAACAAGCATTCCATAACGGTCATAGAAGACTCTTTTCATAAATCGAACTTGCAATAGAGGACTTTTAACATTAATGTACCTTTCAATAGAAGGTTATTTTCATTCATTTCTTTCAATAGAAGATTATTTTCATTAATCTCTTTCAATAGAAGACTATAAATCGATCATTCAATAGCAGATTATTTTCATAAATCGATCTCAACGACAACGAGTAACATATAAATGGCGACTTGAAATCCGAATTTCTTGGCGTCGTCCTTACAAGCCAACAAATCATTCACTGAGCAAGCTCCCCATTGCTTTTAAAAGAAAATTTTAACAGAGAGAGAGAGCTCAGTTTCACTCCACGTAGCTTAAAAGAGAGAGAGAGAGACATCATCTTCACTCGGCGTAGCAGGCCAGCGGCTTGTCGCCGGCCAGCAGTGTGCCGTGCTCCTTGTAGGTGAGGTAGGCGCAGTCGCCCGAGCAGACGCAGTTGCACTTGTCGAGCTGCACGCGTCCACACGGCTCGCGCCGCACCATGCTCCAGGGCTCGCCGTCGCCCACGTACATCTCCAGGGCCTTGTGGATGGCCTCGTGGTCCGTCGGCGAGAAGGGTCGAGGCCGCAGCGGCGCCACGCCGCCCGCGTCCCCGCCGCCCAGGTAGCTGTTCTGCGGGCCGGAGAGAGAAACAAACAGTGCGAGCGCAACCAGCGACCCTAGAGCTCAAAACGCGTCTGGTCCACAGTAGAGCACGCCCAACTTTTCCCAGTGTGTGGTCGCACGAGAGCGGTACCCACCTCCTCCGCGGCCTGGAGACGCAGCTGTAGTGCCAGCCCCTGCACGAAGACGCAGGCGGGCGTGAGGCGCTGCAGGCGCAGCAGGCACTGCTCGGCCAGGCAGCGCGACAGCTTGCCCGGCACGGAGCACGACAAGTACATGAGCACGTACGACACGTTGGCGTGCACGGACCGGGGCCACTCCACCAGGGCGTCTCTGCAAACATGGCCGTCAGCGACTCTGGAGCTAAAAACGCGTCTGGAGTTTTGGCCGCCTCCAGTCGCCATACTCACGCGCACAGGTCGAAGGCGGCGTGGTCGCCCAGCTTGTAGAGGTAGCGGCTGAGGCAGGTGAGCGTGAAGGGCGACCGGCGCGCGCGCGCCGCGTTGCGCAGCAGGGTCAGCTTGCGAGGGTTGTCGTCCGGCAGCATGTCGCCGTACAGCGCCTTCCAGTGGCCCTCCGACGGCAGCATGTCCTTGGCGCGCGACGCGGCCAGCAGCGCGTCCATCAGCGACGGCGGACGCATGACGGGGGCCTCGTCCGTGCCCAGGCCTGGCGGCAGGGACACTGTCAGCGACGCACTGCACAGTGGGCCAGCAGACCGGTGGAGGCCGTCTGAATCCCAGACGCGTTTTGAGCTCCAGAGTCGCTAAATGGGACTCGAACCAAACGTGTGACACCACCAATGAATTACTCTTGGAACGAGGAATCCATTGGTGGGGTCACACGCTCGGTTCGAGTCCCATTTAGTGGAGCTCAAAACGCGTCTAGAGTTTTGGCCGCCGGCGCTGGTCTTGCGGCACACTGTACGCTGTCAGTCGCAGACGGACTGAGAAAGCGCTCAACGGGTGGCGCGAGGCCCGTACCGTGGACTGGTGCGTGGACTGTACCGAGGTAGCAGGTGAGCTTGACTTGCGCCCGGATGGCCCAGATGGCCGACTTGGTCTTGACGTCCATGGACTCGTACTTGGGCACGTGCTCCGTGGCGGGCACCTCCTCCAGGTTCTTGCGGTCGAAGACGCAGGCCACCATGAGGAAGGTGGTGTCGAGGGCGTGCAGCAGCGCCGTGCGGTACTCGTCCACGATGGCGCACGGCTCGTCGGACGGGCTGGTGCGGCGCGGCCGGTGCACCAGCTCGAAGCACCGCGACAGCGTGGCCTTGATGTCGTCCAGGCTGCCCGTCGACGTGTGCATCATCCTGGCGGGGCGACATGTAAAGACAAGCAAAAGCGAATGCAAGGACAGGCAACGCACAGTGGGCCAGAAGACCGGTGGAGGCGGTCGAACCGAACGAGGAATCCATTGGTGGGGTCACACGTTCGAATTCTGTTAAATGTGAAGCTCAAAACGCATCTTGGGTTTTGACCACCCCCGACGGTCCTCTGACCCACTGTGCGACGTGTGCAACATCCTGAAATTCAGTGGGAGGTAACCGGGCCTTGGTGGCGGAGTTTCTGCCGCCGACAGCGTGTACCCTCGTGTAGACCTACACTGTAGGGGGCGCGGCACAATCAGTTCCCTGCTCGTGGTTATTGGAACTGCGGGGCCTCGCCTGTGGCCACAACTCCTCACAGTATCGCCGCCGCCCGGGCCGCCTCGCCCCGCCCGGCCCGCCAGCCACACCCATCCACTTGTCTCCAACGCCCCAAGTTAGCAGAGTTTGGGAGGGGCAGCAGCGCTTCCACCACGGCCTCGAGCACGGCGCCGTCCTGCCGTCGTCGTGGACCTGATTACGAACGACGAGCACCCATTGTCCGCCGCCTCCGCCGCCGCGGCCCTCTAGGCTTGTTACCCGGGAGTTTGACGGCGACCTGGAGCCGGGCCGTGCCGCCCTGCCGCCACGCGGCCAAGGCCAGCGCCGCGCTAGCGCCGAAGCGGCGGCCCGGCCCGGGAGTTTACTCTCCGAGGGGCACCAACGCGGACGCCGCGACCGCCTTCCCGCGAAGCAGGCGAAGCCGCCCGCGGAGAGTAATTGGTGCGCGGAGACAATTGCGTTTCTGTTTGACCAATCACAACACGCGGCGCGGCGAAGAGGCGAGCGTCGTCGTCATCTTTGACGTCATCGTTGGCGTCGTGTCGTGGGCGACGTCATCGTTGCCGACGTCCTCTTTGGCGTCGTCGTCGTAACAGCGAAGCCATAGCGGCAAACTTTGATTTTCCCTCCCCTTTTTGTGTTCCTCGCCCTTCCCCCATGACTCAGACTCGTCACCTCGAGTGAGGCCAGTGGCCCGGCCACGACATGTCCGCCCGCTTCCGGCAGGGCGGTACACTGTTTCCGAGAGTCGGCTGTCTCCCTCGCACCTATAACAGGCCGCCCCGCGAGTGCGAGAGAGACGGCGACGAAAACGACTCTCGGAACCACCAGTCTGCAGGCGGGGCGGTAAACTTTACGGCTTGAGAAGTCCCCTCGGCTGGTGTCAGGTCTGGTGTCAGGTCAGATCGAAGGCTTGTCCCTCGGCCACAACAGCGCCGCGCTTTCGGAGAGCTTGCCGCTCGGCTTGCGGCACGCCTCACGAGGACGACGAGCTCGGGGGGCTTGTCGGAGAGGAAAGCAGCAACGCGACTGGAACAATCCGCTGGACTAGGGGGTGCTGGCGGCGCACAGAGTTCGCGGTGGAGGTCGCCGTCGAGGTCCCCGTCGAGGTCGCCGTCGAGGTCCACCCCGTCCGCCAACTGGCCTCCCGGCTGGGCCCGCCGGGCGCTGGGGCTGGGCTCGTCGCTGGGCCACTGCGGGCAGTCTCTGCTTTTTGGCGCGCCGCTTGCCGCGCTCCATCACATGTGCATGAGGGCTCCTATTGGCGTCCCGGATTAGTGTCACTGCGAGGCGGAATCGCAAACACAGACCGAAGCCCGGTTGATTTTCGTGCCGATGATCTTGTGCGACAAAGTTGCGCGGGAGTTTCCGGGGAGGGGGAGGGAGAGGCCAAAGGCTTTCTCTCTCTAGCCTGGCGTGAGCCAACTTTCTTTTTTTTTTTTTTTTTTTTTGGCCTGCTGTGACAAATGCGCGCGTCGCGTCTCTCTGCACTTGGGCTCAGGGCAATCCTTTGCGTGCACAAATCCGAACCGCTCGGCTGCGAAACAAAGTTGAGAGAAAGCGACTTTCTTTTCTTGTCGACTGTGGCCGCGACCCAAAGTCGGCGTCCTCGTCGTCGTCCTCGACGCCGGCCTACTACAAGTTTTGATGGAACGAGAGTCGCCTCGCCTCGGCACCTATCATGTTTGGCGGTGAAGTGCAAACCATTCCGGAGGAGGTGGCCGGTGCGCCCCGCCCCGCCCCGCCAAACTTTGAAGCCGGCGGGTGCGCGCAGTGCAAACTTGATCCGGGCAGAAAGTATCACTCCGCCGGGCGGACAGGGCCGGCGCTCGCGGGGCACGCGGGGCAGTTGGAGTGAAACGGTTTAATTGGAGGCAGGGATGCAAGGACAGGCAGGACGACGACTCGGCTAACGACTCAACCGACGCGGACGCCGCTCTTTGGAATAATGAATTTTTGAAACGCCCCGCCTACAGTGCAGCGGGCAGACAACCCCTTACAGCCGGGCTCCCCGCCGCGCCTCCTGCCTGCATCGGCCGAAGCCCAAAGTTTGAAGGATAACAGAATCCGAGGAGAGTCTGCGTTGCCGCTCCGGCCGCGGGGGGAGGGAGGGGAGGGACTGAAGGAGCAAATCTGGGCAGTGTGTCCCCACAGTGTCCCCACGTCTCGCGCCCCGCTGCGTCCCGCGAGGACCGCTCCGAGGGATGGCCTTTCCGGCGTGGATGGATATGTGCTGGGACGTCGGAGACATGATGCACCCCACCCGGCGGACCGCCACGGACCGCCAGCAGGCTATACATCGCCCGCCACGCGACCACCCCCCGGACACTCTCACCCTCTCACCCCCCCCCTCTCTCTCTCTCTCTCTCTCTCTCTCTCTCTCTCTCTCTCTCTCTCTCTCTCTCTCTCTCTCTCTCTCTCTCTCTCGCGGCCACGACCAGTACCACGCCGGCGGCGGCAGCCTCTTCCGCCCGGAAAACAAGAAAAAAGCAACACAACCCTGTTGACGTCCAGATTTTCGGCAGAGTCAGTCAGTCAGACGATACAATAACATGCCTGACAGGGGCGGGGTGGGTAAGGTCATATGGAAGATAGGTCTGCGCAACCGAGATGCATGCTGGGAGACCGGGCAAGCCGGCAGGCAGGCTGGCAGGCAGGTAGGCGGTCCTCCGCTGCGGCCGGCGACGGATTCGGGAGGGATTAGCAGCCCGGTCTCCCAGCATGCATCTCGGTTGCGCAGACCTATCTTCCATATGACCTTAGGGGTGGGGCGGGGCGGGGTGGGGCGGGGTGAGTTTATGACGCGTGCAGCAAGCACCCCCGCCGTCGTTGCTGCCGCGTTGCTCGCTGCTGCCGTTTCAATCTTTTGCCACCGTCATCCCCTTTTTTGTTACTTTTACAACTCAATAAAAACGAGCACTTTTCGCATCAAATCAACACGTATTTTTATTTAGGCCGGCGCGGCCGGGAGGCCCCGGTCACTGTTATGTGCGCAAGTTTGTCTGTCGGGATGGAAAAAGGAGGAGGCGCGCTGCGGTCGTCTCTGTACTGACCTCGAGACGCGCACCAGGTCGCGCACGACGGCGTCCCAGGCGGACGGCGCCAGCGTCACCAGGTCGCGCAGCTTGTCCTCGAGGACGCCGTCGAAGGAGGCGGCGGTGGTCCAGACGAGCGGGCACTGCATGTTGCGGAGCCGGGCCTGCGCCATGATGCGGCCCAGCCAGGACGCGCGCAGCGCCGCCGAGCCTTCGCTCATCTGGAAAATGAAAATGACAGCGAGATTTAGCGCAGGGCTGCGGGGGAAGGGGGGGCGTTTCACCGTCGGTTTGAATCCGGGCGCGGGAAACGGCGAGGTGCTGGACGGCAGGCTCACCGCCGTCCTACGGAAGGGAGGCAATAATGCCAACGAGTGGGGTGGGGGGTGGGGGCGCGTTGGCCTCGGTCCCAAAGGCCGTGTGGGCAGAGCGGCCAGAGCGGGGCAAGAGAGGAGAGCGTTATTTGCCAGGGCGTCATTGCAGCCCGTGCACGGCGTGCAGCCCGACAGTGGCGGAGCGCCGGAGCAGGTGACCCGGCAAACACCCTGGCGGCACGGCCTGGCTGGGCACGGCCTGGCTTGGCACGGCGTGGCGGCAGCGCGCTCCAAATGGCTCCCCACCAGCATCACGACCTCCACCGCCGCCACCACCACCTTCACCACCACCCGCCCCTCGGTGCACCCCTTTCGCACCTGGCTTTGCAGCCGCCCCGCCCGAGCTGCCAGCCCGCGGGCTCGGCAGAACTACGTGTGTTAATAGAGGGAAACAATTACGACGGCCTTGAAGTCGGCCTCGCCGGAGTGGCTGGGCGTGGCGTGGCTGGGCGTGGCGTGGCGTGGCGGGGCGGGGCGGGGCGTGGCGTGGAAGCGCGGGCGGACGACCCTTTTTTGTCTGAGCGCCTCGGCCTTCTCGCCGCAAGACGCGCAGGAAGTCTCAAACTGCTGCCAAGTGATAAAAGTTTTTCCAAAAAAAAAGAGAGAGAAAGGGGAAAGTTTTGTTGCTTTTCAGCGCGCCGTTCAATCGGTGCCGCTTCTTATTTTTATGGCGGTTCCCGATTCGTTTGAACGCGGCGCTGGCCAGCACACTGTGAGGGTGGCCTCTCGGCGCCGCGGAGACTCTCGTTCCGGTGGCCCTGGCGGCGTGGCGCTGGAGGGCGCCCTGGAGGGCGTTGATAAGGCAGCAGCCCCTTTCATCATGCTGCCTGTTCCACGGTGTCCTCGGCCTGCCTCGGCCGCGCAGCGCACAGTGGGCCAGAAGACCGGTAGGGGCGGCCAAAACTCTAGACGCGTTTTGAGCTCCAGAGTCGCAGGACAAGCCTCGAACCAAGCGTGTGACCCCACCAATGGGTTCCTCGTTCGGAGAGCAATCCGTTGGTGGGGTCACACGTTCGGTTCGAGTCCCATTTAGCGACTCTGGAGCTCAAAACGCGTCCGGGATTTTGGCCGCCTTCACCGGTCTTCTGGCCCACTGTGCGTCGTTCCGGCGCTCTGTCTCTCTCGCACCCCTGCGGAACGCCCCACGAGTGCGAGAGAGACAGCGCGACGCAGCGGCCGAACTTGACAAATGAACCGCCATCGGGTCGACGTCGACGCCGGGCAGGCCGAGCTGGCAGTCAGCCCGGCAGGCGGCCCGGCATGCCTCCGTGCCCTTCAATGGGTCGGCAGCGCTGTTCCGCACGCTCGACATGACCCCCGTGAGCACCACGCTCGGCTGGCTCGGGGCCTCCTTGCCCGCCAGAGGGATCAGGCACGGACGTACGGACGGCGGCGGTGCAACGCGGCGTAACGCCAGAAAGCAACAGCACGGACGAGAAGAAGCAGCGGCGCTGCAGGTAGTTGAACCCGCGACCACGGCGGCGCTCGGTCTCGCCAATTGTCTCGAGGCGCTCCTCGAGTATCGCACGTCGTGCTTTTATTTTATTCCTCCCTTCGGTCCTCTGCCGTTTACAACCCCCAATAGCACCCCTCCCCCTCCGCGCCCGGAGCCCGGATCACCGCGCCGAGCGAGCGGGCGGTTCGGAACGCTCGTCGAATTTGTACCCCCGCCCCCTCAACGCCATCACCGTGCCGTGCCCTTCGGCGCGATCCTGGCCGCGACACGCCGCCCCGCCACGCCCCGCCCCGCCCCGCCCCGCCCCGCCACGCGCCCCAGGTGTGACCTGGACCAGCGCGCTGTTGTGCCGCCGCGGGGCTTCCCGCCGCTGTTGCTTGTTCCCCGGCGCCAGCACCCAGCCCTGGCCCAGCCATCGCACAGTGGGCCAGAAGACCGGTGGAGGCGGCCGAAACTCTAGATGCGTTTTGAGCTCCAGAGTCGCTCAATGGGACTCGAACCGAACGTGTCACCCCACCAATGGATTCCCCGTTCGGAGAGCAATCTATTGGTCGGGTCACCCGTTCGGTTCGAGTCCCATTGAGCGGCTCTGGAGCTCTGCACGCGTCTAGAGTTCCGGCCGCCTCCACCTCGGCCACGCCGCCGCCACTAAACCCCGAGCCGTTGCGCCGCGTCGCTGCGTCCCCGAGGGCCGTATGCAGAGTGGGGCGAAGCGAAGGCGAGGCGGGGCGAAGCGCGCGGAGCGACGCCCATTGGCAATATGACCCCGATGGGAGTGGGCTCTGCCCGGGCGCCGCCGTGCCGCCACCCCCTGGTCCCCGTTGGTCCCCCACGTCCCTGATGGCTGACATCACTAAATTTTCATACAACGAGGCCTCGGCGTCGTCATGTTCCCCCCTCATCAAACGCCGGCCATGTACTCCCGCCGCCAAAAAAGAATATTAAATGTCGCTTGATGCGATGGCGCGCGGCCCGTAACCGTTTTGCCCGTGTCACTGCGTGTCGCGCGGCGAGAGTGAGCGAGCGAGTCCCTGCGGCTTTTTTGCTCTCGCTGCGTCGTCAACCGCTTGTTCGACGGCGTGTCGCGTTTCTCTTTCACAGTGTACTGCAGGCCCGGCCCGGCACGGCCTGGCATGGACACGGCCAGGGGGAAGTGCTGCACTGTGCAGCCTTGCTGTGGACATAAACATTCTCACCGAAGCACTTGGTGGGCGAGCCAGGCCGAGCGCGGCGCGCGGGGGCTTGGGGCTGTACGCCGCAGCCCGGCTCATGTCCCCCGCCTCGCTGGAGGACTCCAGGAGGAGGGTGACGTCACCGCCAGAGGCAGCGCCACGCGGGTCCAGCAGACTGATTCCGAGAGTCGTTGTCTCTCTCGCATTCGTGGCGCGAGCCGTGTTGGTGCGAGAGAGACAGAGCGACGAAAACGACTCTCGGAATCTGTCTGCAGAGAGGCTCTGCCTACCCCCACGACGCCGCGCGCCGCGACGGCAGGGCGTCGGCCACTCCCCTTGTTTCGCCTCGATTTTTCAGCGCCTCGTCCCCCCCCCCCCCCCGCGGCCGTCCGGCCTGCTGCCGAAGCGCCGTCGTTCTGTCTCTCTCGCGCCGCGACGGCACGCCCCGTGAGTGCGACAGAGACAGAGCTGTCCGGAGCCAGTCTCCGGTGTCCTTCTGACGGCAGCGAGGCGGCAACGTCACGGCCTTGGTGTGCTGGATCTCATTACAACGCTCGCGTTATCGCCGGGGAATGCATTCCCGGACGGGCGACGGGCCGACGGACAGTCGCCGGGGACCGTCCCGAAGTCGCGACGGGTTGAGAACAGGGTGCTCCAAAGAACAATGACAGTTCCTATGAGAAATTTACGCGGCTGATGAGGTCCGGACCTCAACCACAACGCCCACTGTGCAACGGCGCCCTGGGCGTCCCCGCGACCGCGCCGTCAACAATGCAGCCGCGCGCAGTGGCTGCGGCGGTTCGGCAGTGCGACAACAATGACCTCGGGGCCGACGGGCCGACGGCCGCGACCGCGAGGTGCCGCGAGGCCGAAACGCCGAAAGGCGGCCACTCGGCCAATCCCCGCGAACCGCACCGGAACCACCAAGACCGTTTCCGCCGCCTCGGCCGGCTCGGCCGACCTCGGAGCATTCGCGGATTTCTCATACTCCACACAGCCCGGCCAGCCAGGCCGGCGGCGCGGCGCCGCTGCCGCTGTGCGATCGGCCCGGAAGGCCTCCGCCTCCCTTCCCTCCGGCGCCGCGACGTCCCCGTCGACCGGCACCGCCCGGCCTTGGACCTCTCGAAGGCTGCGGAGGCGTTGCCATGACGACACGCTCTGCTGCTGGTTGCTTACCGTGCTCGTCGTCAGCTCCGCGTCAGTACTCCGTGCTCAAGGGGTCGTCGTCGTCGTGGACGCCGGGCTGCGCGCTGCGCTGTGCTACGTCGGCTGCGTGCGTCCGCACCGTCCGGAGTGCCTGCGTGTTGTGACTGACGGCTGATGAAATGAGTCGGCGGCGTGGCGGGGCAAGCCGCCGGTTAGGACTGTTGTTGTTGTTGTTGGAATAGTGCCGCCGCCGCCCGCCGCCCGCTCCCCACCACTCCCCGGCGGCGGCGGCCACGTCGGCCGAGCAACACCCCGGCGGCCTGCCCTGCCCTGCCCGGCGGCGTGGCCGTGGCGGCGGTCGAACGGGCACGCCTTCGGAGGACGGAGGGACGGAGGGACGGAGGGAAGGACCAAGGGCCGTGCGTGTTTGTGGGAGGCCGGGTGCCGCGTCCACACACCAGGGAACCACCACACTCGACGCCTCGCAGGGCCAGCAGGCCTCCGAGCCATACCAGGGCGATCCGTTTTCACTCATCACTTGACTCAGAGTGGCCGAGAGAGAGAGAGAGAGAGAGAGAGAAGTGGGCGATCCTCCTGACTCGGTTCCCCAGAGCCCGGACCCGGGCGTCCGGACTCCCCGCTTCAACCCCCACGCCACCTCCGTGAAAATTAATGGTTATATTTTGTAAATACCTCTCGGCCCGGAGCTTGGCTGCTCCGCTCGCTCCGCTCGCAGCTGGTGTAGCGAAGGGCCGTAGGACGTGCGCGCGCCCTCGTTGTTCCGCCGTTTTACACTGTGCACGCGCCTCGCTTCACTGCCGCCATGTTGTTGCACTGAGATGAGGCGGCCGGCTTGCACGCGCAGCAGAGCGGTTCGGAACGGCGCTCGTCGCTCTGTCTCTCTCGCACTCGTCAGAGATAGCGCAGAATCACCGCCATCATTCGGCGCCTCAAGTACCGGAGTACCGGAGTGCAGCTTTAAGTGGGACGGGGCGCGGGTTCGACTCCCCGCGAGGGCAGACTCTGTTTTCCCGCTTTTATCGTCTTGGTGGAAAGGTGCGGAGGGCGCTGGGAGTGCGTCAGCCTGGGGGGGGGGTTCATCATCCGTTCGACAGACCGGGATGAAGAAAAAAAGCACGGAAAAAGTGCAGTGAGATATGCGGCTGATTTATCGGGCGTGAGTGTACAGGTGGCGCCCCCTCCCTCCCCACCTGTCATTGGCAGAGCGCCGCCGTGCCGCCCTTCAAGACCACGTCGGGAATAAACGCCTCCCCCCTCTCGGCACCCTGCACCCCTTCCGGCCAAATCGTTCCGTTTCCGGCCCTGTTGCGCGCGCCGGCCCCGTCGGCAGGGCCGCGTCGCCGCGTCAGGTGCAACTCGTGTTTACCTGGCTCATTAGCACCAGCCTCGCGACCCTCGCGACTGCGGCGACACGTTTTTTATGGCGTGTTTTTTTAACGCCGCCTGGCGGTGACGCGTGTGTTTATTGAAGCCACCCTGTTCCCCCACCCCAGAAAAAAGTGTCGCGTTCAAATCCAAGGGGATGCATTTTTGAAATTGCCTGAGTTGTCTCCCAAACTCAAGGGAATGCCTCAATTTTGTTCCGTCGCTACCCCGTGCGCGAGGGACTTGCAATGCCAGTGTGTCGCGCGGTCCGACGAGCGCGGGGTAGCGACGTTTCGATTTCCTCGTGTACCAGCGAGTCCCGAACAGAAACGGCGCTGTCAACCCCCTGCCGCCTGCACTGGGTTCCACGTCCAATGTACGACCACGGCGATGCCCTCGAGCGCGGGGTATAGCGACGGGTCAGCTCCTTTTCCGGTAAACGGTCGCGAAAGGAACCGACGACTCGTCGCGCGCAGAGCGTGGGGTATTGACAGTGTCATTTCTTCCGTGACTGGCTTCGGATTCGCACTGCTGCTCGTTTTTCGCCGGCGCTGCAAAGGGGAGGGGGTGGCTGTGCTTATTGGGTGGAAGCAACAGCGGCTTGGTCTGATTTCCGCGTTGCACAGGAGGGTCCCGGCACGCCCCGCCCCGCCCCGCCTCGCCCCGCAGCCCGCTCCGCGGCGCCGTCAAAGAAGCCGACGCCGTGCCTCGCCCCTTAGCGCGGCTCAGGTGGGCCCCAAAGCAGTCACACCGTGACGCACGCCGTGGTGGTGGTGGTGGCCTTCCAAACAGTTTGATTGAGAGATGACGAGGTTGTTATTTGTTCCTATTCACCACTCTCTCCCCCTCTTTTTACCTTTTCCGCTGTATCCCTCGTTGACTCGGCCACGGCGGTGATGCGATGGGGATTGGCGCTCTGGGGCCGAGGTGGCGACGTTGCGGTAGGGAGGGCCTGGGGGGGGGGGCACGCTTCCGTGCCAAGGTGCGCCGGGCTGAGATAGGATAGGACCCACCTCTGCAGGCCCGCCGGACGGGGTGGAGACGGGGTGGGGACGGGGTGGGGTCCGGCCAGCCGCCCGATTCCGGAAGACGGTTGCGTCGCTCTGTCTCTCTCGCACTCACGGGGCGTCCCGCAGGGGTGCGAGAGAGACAGAGCGATCCTTTGGAATCGGGCGGCAGGCCGCTCGCCGCGCCGGGAGGAAGCTATAAACTTAAATGTAGTACTTTGTCTCTTCGAAGAGGTGCGATGGAGCGGGCCGCCCTGCGCTCGCGGATTTTCCTCGCCTCCTCTTTCCCCTCCTTTTGCTTCCCTTTGCCCCTCCCCCCTCCTCTCTCTCTCTCTCGTCGTCGCCACTCTGGTGCCCATTTCCTCCTATACGGCCCGAGTCCCGCTCGCTGGCGTCACCTAACCTTCCATGCTTGTTTGTGTGTTCCAGGTAAAGGCCGATACCGAGTGAGACGGGTTCTCTCTCGCTGCGCAGCGGACTGCCGAGTCATTCAGAAGAACCGTTCGTCGCTCTGTCTCTCTCGCACCCTCATGGACAGTCTCGGAAATCTCGGAAATTTGCTGATTTTGCTGACTTTGGGTGGCCGCTGTGTCCAATCTATTTGCCGTATAAGGCCTCCCTCGACGCCCTAGTATTCTTAAGACCCTACTCTTTTATGCCCTGCATCGGGAAGACGTTGACCACAACGATTTTGGCTTTGACCGCAACGATTTTCCGACCAAGTTGGCCAAAAAGTGGCCGAATCTCGGAAATTTGCTGATTCTGCTGACTTTGGATGGCTACTGTGTCCAATCTAGTCGCCGTAAAAGGCCTCCCTCGACGCCCTAGTATTCTTAAGACCCTACTCTTTTATGCCCTGCATCGGGAAGACGTTGACCACAACGATTTTGGCTTTGACCGCAACGATTTTCCGACCAAGTTGGCCAAAAAGTGGCCGAATCTCGGAAATTTGCTGATTCTGCTGACTTTGGATGGCTACTGTGTCCAATCTAGTCGCCGTAAAAGGCCTCCCTCGACGTCCTAGTATTCTTAAGGCACTACTCTTTCGTGTCCTGTATCGGGAAGACGTTGACCACAACGATTTTGGCTTTGACCGCAACGATTTTCCGACCAAGTTGGTCAAAAAGTGGTCGAATCTCGGAAATTTGCTGATTTTGCTGACTTTGGATGGCCACTGTGTCCAATCTAGTTGCCGTAAAAGGCTTCCATCGACGCCCTAGTATTCTTAAGACCCTACTCTTTCATGCCCTTTATCGGGAAGGCTATTGACCGCAAATAGTTTGGGAGCGGTAGCCTCACAAAGTTGGTCGTGAAGGGTAAAAACATAATGATGATCGGGGGCCTTTTGCGGTCTTATCCGCTGGGGCCTTTTGGGGGCCAGTCCGAGCCTGGCTCGCGGCACACGCGCGACGGAGATGGACTTTAATGTCATCGCGCCGCGCCGCGACGCGGCACACTGTAAGTATCGAGACGGCGAGGCTCCCCTCCGAAACGCGACGCCTGATTAAACGACGCCGCCACTGAGTGCGGGGCTCCACGCCCAACGGGGCTCTGTCTCTCTCGCACCCCCGCCCGACGCCCCGTGCGTGCGAGAGAGACAGCGCGACGCTCCTCCCACCCCTATCGTCCCTGTCAGTCCATTTTGCCTGCAGAATGAAGCAAAGTGGAGGCGCCTTGAGACGTCCCCGCGGCGCCGCGGGGAACCGCGTCCGTCCGCCCTGCCGGCATGTCTGTCTGTCTGTCTGTCTGTCTGTCTGTCTGTCTGTCTGTCTGTCTGTCTGTCTGTCTGTCTGCCTGTCCGTTCGCACACCAGCATCGCCTCCCGATTGGATTGATTGTCGAGTCCCCCATCCGAAGGGCGCCGTCAGCCTGCCTCCGAAACAACGTCCCGTCGCTCTATCTCTCTCGCACCTGTACGGGACGCCCCGCGTGAGTGCGAGAGAGAGAGAGCGATATTCGGAGTGGCCCCGCTGGGTGCCGAGAACGAACGCGCGAAACAGAGACGTCAGCGCGATTTCTGTCGCCTTGCGCCGCGCAGCACCGCGCAGGTGGCGCGGCGGATCGGGATATCGGCCTTCAGGGGCTGCTCCAAGTGCGTCTCTCTCTCTCTCTCTCTCCCTCTCCCTCCCTCTGTCCCTCCCTTGCCCTCTTTCCCGCTCTCTCTCGGGGCGGCGGCGGATGCGCGCCGCCCGTGTGAAGATGGAGGTGGGGGGGGGGGGGGGGGGGGGGGAGCTCGTCCCGTGTTGTGTGTATTGTGGGAGTTGCCTGTTTTGCCCGGTTCGCCCCAATTCCGCACACACAACATGAGATGGGCCCCAGGTAGCGCAGCAGCAGCAGCAGCGCGCGCCCGCCTCCTTATACTGTGTGCTAACCCCTTGAGTTTCTTGGCCGCACGCAAAAACCGCAGGGGGAACCGCAACCGCGCCGCGCCGTGCCGTGCCGCGCCGCGCCGTGCCGTGCCGCACGCGAAGAGCGAAACTGCAGCCCAATATTTTTTCTAACGCCTCGAACTCCGACCGTCTCTCTCTTTGTTTTTGTTTGTTTGTTTTGACGGTTTTCATATTTTCGCCCCCGAGCTCCTCTCCTCTCTCTTCCTTCCTGAGATAGTTCCCCGGCCCCTCCGGCCGCCGCTGCAGTTGCCTGTGTGTCTTTTCTACTTTTAACGGCATGCTTCAGTTTGAGTGTGCACGCTGAAGCACTACTTGGCGCTGAGGGAGAGGCCAAGTTGCGGCCCGGCAGCACACTGATTCCGAGAGTCGTCGCTCTGTCTCTCTCGCACTCGCGGGGCGTCCCGTGTGGGTGTGAGAGAGACTCTCGGCATCGGGATGCGCCAGGACGGCCGAATCGGGGGATGCACTCTGCAC